CCTCCAGGACCAGCCCGATCCCTGCGGATGGAGGGGCAGAGCTAAGGGGGGCGGCAGGAGGGACCGCAGCGCTCCTGGGGGGCCAACCTGGCTCCCGCGGCTCCTACCTTGGTCCATGCGCCCGATGGTTGTGTACTGGGCTGCCAGGTCTGCCCGGGCAGCCGGCGTGTCTGGAACAAAGTGTGGAACCTAAAGGGAGAAGGGGCAAGTGGCAGTCACGGGGAGGGAGGTCGTGGCTACGCCGGGGTGGCTTTCGCCAGCTCTCGCCCATAACGCTGACAGCAGTGACCGAGAGGGTCCAGCCTGCAGCCACTCTGGTTCTGGCGGAGGCTGCTGTCGCATGCAGGCCCTATGTGCCCCCCTTCCCGCCCCATCCTGCTGGGTTTGGTTGGGATAGAGTTAATTTTCCTCACAGTATGAGGCCAGGGTCTGGATTTGTGCTGAGGGAAAGGTTGAACACATACTAATGTCCGTAGCTGTTGCCCAGCAATGTTTACACTGAGTCAACATTCACATGCAGTTTCCAATCCTGCCCCTCTGTTCCCGGCTTCTTTACAACATGCTGGGAGGGGACACAGCCAGGACAGCTGACCCCAACTGTGACCAAAGGGGCGTTTCATGCCATCAACCTCACGCTCAGTGTGTAAGTTGGGAGGAGTGGGCCAGGGTCCCGACTCTCAGGTCTCTTGGGCTCTGGCTCACTCTGGCTCTGGCTGCTTGGGGACTGGCTGGGCACTGGTCAGCTGGTGGTGAGCCGTTGTGGGGTTTTCTCCATTATTTTTATTACATATTATTATTAGTAATAGTAGTAGTTTCATTACATAGTACTAGTAGTATTTTCATTACATAGTACTAGTAGTATTTTCATTACATGTTAGTAGTAGTATTATTATTTTATTGCTTTAATTTTCAATTTTAAATTGTTCTTAACCTGTGTCTTGCCTTTCCTTTTCCTCTGATCCTCTTCCCCATCCCAGTGGGGGAGCTGAGCGCGGCAGCCCCGCTCAGCCCCGTAGAGCCCCACGCAGCCCCCTGTAGCCCCATGCAGCCCCATAGAGCCCCACGCAGCCCCCTGTAGCCCCACGCAGCCCCATAGAGCCCCACGCAGCCCCATAGAGCCCCACGCAGCCCCATAGAGCCTCAAGCAGCCCCACATGCTCTCACCTGCACTTGCTCCGGACGGTAGAGCTGTGGCTTCCAGTCCGGGATCCAGCCCATGCCGCTCTCTCCGTTGCCGAATTTCTCACAAAAGGGCCCGTACTGGGGCTGGGAGTGCCCGCAGCGGTGGGGGTCATGGAAGGCAACGTAGAGGAAGAAAGGCCTGGAGGTGGAGAGGGTGGAGGGGGGTAGCAAAGGGCTGCCCACACCCCTCGAGACCAACCCTGGGCTGTGCAGGGCTGAGCTGGGCTCAGCAGAATTCCCACCTAATCCAGGCTTCTGGCTATGGGGTGACCCAGAGACAAGGTCCTATTTGTCACCAACTGGGATGGTTTCCCTCCCCTCGGCCGTGCCCCCTCGCAGCCCATCCCAGGGCCGCAGGGTGGGTCTCACCTCTCATCCTGGCTCCGCAGGAACCGCCGGACGAGCGCTTTGATTCGAGTGATGTTTCTGCCAACCTGCAAGACCGAACTGTTCTCCTCCGTGTAGGCGAAGTCGAAGGGGTAGACGGCCTCAGGCCCAACGTGTTTCTTCCCAATTATCCCTGCCAGAAGGCAGAGGAAGGAGCGGGATGAGGGACAGAGTGAGGTGTAACGAGGATGGCAGGGGAGCAGCGGTGGGAGGGAGCAAAGTGAAACGGGGTGCCAGCACGGAGCAGGGACACGGTCCCATCGGCGCCGCGTAGCTGGCAGGCAGCTTAGCCATCAAGCTCTCTCCCCCGGGGGGGCTGGTG